TCCATTGGTGAGCAAGTGATGTAATGCTAAATTTCTCCAAATCTGTTCTGATGAAGAAACAAACTCCTCTACAACTTGGATGGTCTGAGGGTGAATAGATTTTCAGCAAATTTACATTTTTAGGTGAACTGTTCCTTTAAGAATATATTTTAAAGGAGTCATATGATGCGATTTCAATTTCAGTATAAGTCATTATAATCCGTAATTATGTCCCCACTGGATGCAACAAATGCCTCATTTATAATGGGTTTTAATGTTTTTGTCTCGTCGCACCGGGACACGCCATCACAATATGGTAAGGGGAGTAACATTTCCGTCTCAAGCTTGAGGAATTCGGCCAATCACAACGCACTGGATAGCTGGCCAATCACAGCACACCTCGCTTTTCAGACCGATGAGCTTTGTAAAAAATTGACGCGTTTCAGAAAGGCGGGGCATAGAGGAGAAACAATAATGTACAGTATGTGGAAAATAATGTTTTTTTTTTAGCAACGTCATATGACCCCTTTAAAGATATTTCCATGACATACTCCTGAGGCTGAAGTTCTTCATTATTGACGGGGTCAGAACTCAACGCTCCGGCGCCCAGGCCGTACCCATAACCTTTTGGACCATATTTCTTGCCGTAGCTGGATTTGCAGTCAATTTCAGACTCATGTGCTGCAACTGTAGTGCTGTCCAAACCTTTACGACAAGCCACTAGAGAACAGAAAGACAACTGTTTTAAAATATGACTGTAAAGACACATAAAATATAAAAAGTGTAAAATTATAAATACAAATCAAACATTTGATTTTAAAAGTATCTTTGGCTCAAGGCTGCATTTATTTGATAAAAATGCAGTGAAAACAGTCATATTGTGAAATATTATTACAATTTTGAATAACTTCATATAAAATACATTTTAAGATGTATTATTTATCATAAATTGATAACTTTTCAGCATAATTTCTGCAGTCTTCAGTGTCACACGATCCTTCAGAAATCATTCTAATATGCTGAATTGCTGCTCAAGAAATATTTATTATTGAAAACATTTGTACTGTTTGGATGCATTTTGGTTTTTTTAGCATTCTGAGATGAATAGAAAGTTCAAAAGAACAGCATTTATTTGAAATAGAAATATTTTTGCAACACAAAACCTCTTGTTTTTGCTCCTCCAGAGGGCTGTCTGCATTCGTCAGCTGTAGGGTTGCAAGGTTTCCACAACAAATCCCACCCATTTGCTACTCAAAACTAGCCCAATCGCATTTTGAGGGGGGCTCCCCATTAAAAATCACGTTCGGGGGGTAAAATACACGTTTTTGGCGGGGTTCCCCTGATAAAATTCGCACTCCAGGGGTTAAATATCACGTTATCGGGGACGCTTTAACCCGCGGACATGAAAAACAACCCGCGGCAACAGTGATAAAGTAGCCCAGATCCGCGCGAAAACCGCGGACTTGGCAACACTGGTCAGGCTGCTGCACTTTCAGCCAGGACGGCTCAAAATTTGTGTCTAATTTTGGGCTGGATGAACAAGAGGCTCTGGGAGACCAAAGCATCCGCAGCAGATGGAAACAGGCCCTTGAATGGTGGCGAACTGCAGGGGTGTTTGTGTTACCAGTCTCAGACTTACTATCACCACCCTTTCTGGCACGACTCAAGCCTTTAAGAGTTAATGCTGCGCCTTTACTTGTAAAAAAAAAATGCAATATCAATTAAAAACAAAAGACAACATTTCTAATTTTCATTAGTTTAAGTTCTAAAACAACTAAATTAAAACAACGACCAACTTAAGACATAATTTGGGGAAAAAACAAAAGACAAAAACACGACAAAATTACTAAAACTAACTCAAAATGAAAACAGCAAATACAAAAATGAACTCTAATTCAAAATATTAACAAAAATTAAATAGTGAAATTAAAATAACACTCCTGGAGCTTATTGCTCCATCCTAAAATACTGATTGAACAAAACATTTGATAGTTGAATACAAAACTTAATTAAAGGTACTTATGTTTGGCAAACATACTAATGGGCCCAAGGGCCAAAGGATGCACGTGTTTGTATGTTTTATTAACTTATTTTTATTTATTTGTTTGTTTAATTTAGTTTGATTTTACATTTTGCTCTTCTTCATCCCACTGGTTTTTCCGTGTTTATGTATGGGGTTTTTTTGTAGCTAAAACTGCTCTATTCAAGAATGGTAAGACTACCATTAAGTTTACTAATGTTTTGTGGACTTACTGCAGATGAAGCAGGTTTACCATTAGTTAACACATTACCATTAGTGCTGTCAAACGATTAATCGCGATTAATCGCATCCAAAATAAACGTTTTCGTTTGCATAATATATGTGTGTGTTCTGTGTATATTTATTATGTATATATAAATACACATACATACAGTATATATTTTGAAAATATTTACGTCTATATATACATAATTTATATTATAAATAAATATATTTAATATATAAACAACATTTTTCTGAAATATATATATGCACGTGTGTGTATTTATATGTACATAATAAATATACACAGTACACATATATTATGCAAACAAAAACTTTTATTTTGGATGATTAATCGCGATTAATCGTTTGACAGCACTAATTACCATTCATTTGGGTTTTAAATGTTTTTGAAAGAAGTCTCTTATGTTCACCAAGGATGCATTTATTTGATGCAGTAAAAACAGTAATATTGTGAAATATTATTACAATTTAAAATAACTGTTTTATATTTGAATATACGTATATTTTAAAATGTAATTTATTTCTGTAGTGCACAGCTGAATTTTCAGCATCATTACTCCAGTCTTCAGTGTCACATGAATCTTCAGAAATCATTCTAATATGCTGATTTGCTCCTCAAGAAACATCTGAAAGCAGTTGGGCTGCTTAATATTTTTGTGGAGTTTTACATAATTCTTTAATGAATAGAAAGCTTCCTTTTTGAATGATAGTAATTTCTTTCAAATAACAAAATCCCATACTTTTGAATGGGAGTGTAACTTTATTAATCTCATAATGATATTCTCTTTACACATATTCTACTTTGTAAGAAGGAAAGGTTTAGTAATGTCACGACTATTGAATCAATATCAATTAATAACTCTTTCACATAATGGACAATATCATTAACTTTCATTAAAGAGTCATTAACAGAGCTTATATGTAACACATGCTCATTTAATGTACATTCAAATGTAAATATATTTGTTACATGATCTGTCTAACTGTGAATGTATTATTATTACCAGTTTTTTTTATTATGAATTATAATATGGTGTAATTTCATTTTTGTTGATTTTATTGATGAAAGTCATAAGAGCTACCCTATCATTACAAGAACCTGATGAATTCTTCTAAAATCACTTTTTACAATAGTTCTCATTTCCAATGAATATTTTTATGTAAACTATTTATGATTACATTACAGCACAAATGATGAAGCCATTGGTAAACATAAAAATGCAAATGTTTAAATTCTACTTACACAGGTTATATAAGAAATCTTTTTCTGGAAATTATGCTTTCACCTCTGTCCAGCTCAGGGTCCTGATGATGTCCATTTCTGACCCTCTTTGGCGGGTCTTTATATACTGGGCATCACTCCCTCACCTCCACACACACACACACACTCACTCACTCATAATTTCAAGAGGACCAGGAGGCCGTGCTGACATTCAAATTGGTCCATCCTCCTAAATTAACTGCTGACAATACACAGATGCAATGCAGTTGCAGTGGCCTCCAGTCCTGAGCTCAGATATTCAACAGGCTCTGGAGCATTTGTTCAGCGCTTTCAAGGCTTGAGTGCTCAATTTAGTTTAACAACTGTGTGAGAAGTTCACAGGCTGAATAGCCTAAATATTGGGAAGAATTCATATAGGCTTCATGTACACTAAATGTTCTGGATGACTGATTATTAAAACTGATGATGACAGTTTTTTTTTATTTTTTTAACCGTTAACCGTTTCTCTGCCTAATTGCAGTTATTTTATGCTTTGGATGATTATCCAAAAGAACAGTCTGTATTTTACAGGCATCATTTCTATAACTACTTTGTATCTGATGCGGCGCATTGCATATAAAATTATAACCTTTAGACTTAATTCTAATTAGTAACATTATTTCTCTATCACTTAATTGAACTTAATTTAATTTACTGTTTAACCTAATTCAATTGTCTTTTTTCTTTCTTTCTTTTTAATTCAGTGGAATAGGAATGGCATTATTAGCCAAAATTACGGATATGCTCTTTGGCATGTAATGACAATGAATGGGAATATACAGCAAATATATAAAAACCCATTAAAGTGTTATATTCATGCGCAATATTCCAAGTCTTCAATAGCTATAATAGATATGTGAGGAAGTTACAGGGCCTACAGGCTTTAACCCGCCGTTCACTGAAAATATAGCACCGATTGCCCATTTACGTAACGATACATATGTAGATTTGTTTACTTACAGCCGGAAGTGCAGCGCGCTTGATACCATATAAGGAGAAGAAGAGGGCGGAGAAACTGCGCAGAATGCTGAAGATGGTGATGATTAGGTGCTTTATGTTCTTGCACTTCTTTATTTTGTTTACTTTTTTAAAGTGGTTTTTGGATGCTTTATATGATACAGTGAATGTTTGTAAGATTTTGTACTTCAATAAAAAAAGAAAAGGCTGGGTTTTGAAGAATATATGGTGACTATACACTATTAATACGTTTTTTTTAATTCATTGATTTATTGCAAAACTGAAATACATTGCGTTCTGTAAAGATGTGGGTGTAATCACTTAAATGCTCATCAGTTCCACATTGGCCGGCCTCGTGGCCTAATGGATAAGGCGGATAATTGCAGGTTCGAATCCTGCCGGGGGTCGTATCTTTAGGGTCATTGTTATATAACGGCAAATAAATCCAGAAATAGCTACCCAACTGCTGGAGAACTCCTTCATTGCACAGTTTAGCGCCAACACACATCTGATGCACCTGAAGCTCTTGACTCTCAGGTGTCCAGGATTGGCTAAAAATTAGACAGGTGTGTTGAAGTAGGATTGGAACTGAAATCTGCAGGTAGCTGGATTTCCAGGAGTAGAGTTGTCCCCGATGGTGGTAATTAATATATGGCTTTGCAGATATATATATAATTCAGTGAAATGGTAGTGTGTAACCTGAACTAAACTCAGGGTGCAACATTCTTCATTCAGTTCATGTAGCGTAAATGTAATGGGCTGTGATTGATCATCCAACTCTAAACTGGTGTTTATATGGTGATAACTGTATTATCGCATTGCTGTCTATATAGTTAATATATATTATTTACAAATTTACTGTCAGGCATAAAGTATGCTAACATAAAATGACACTATATAGCAAATCTAAACTGCCTGATTTTTTTTTATTTAGTTGCAAAATGTAACTTAGATATGTAAGCATGTAATGACAAATAATGATTTGATTGTGTTCAAAGTTAGGCTTACTTCAAAATGATGATAAGTTTAAAGTCCGCATGAAAATTGACTTTATTTACTAGCGCACATTGCTAGTCTTGATGTGAACAATTAATCCGTGCAAGTTAATCCACTGAAAAAAAATGGTTTGTTTTCTTGGTAATCTTTAATCAAAATCTGAACATTTGCTTCTGCTCTGGAATGGCATTCCTTCTCTGATGACGTTAGTTTGACGGTTTGGGCAGAATATCCTTAAACACGCCCCTCTAACCGTTAGCGCAAAAATAAAACCACGCCCTCTCCTCAGTATTCCGTTTCAGCTGGAAATAGGTCACTTGGAGTTATTTAATAGACTTGGATATATTGCAAAGGATGCAGATGGACCTAAGTTAAGTGAGAATGGAAAGTTTGAAATAGACGAGCAGTTTTCATTTCAGAATCATGCTACGCTAAATTTCCAAAAAAAGTATTATATACCACTATATTATATATATCACAGTAAACCTGTACATTATTACGGTATTTTATACTTAAACGTCTTAGCTACTAAAGAAGTACTGTGTTGAAGGAACAGACTGAGCAGTGATGCCACAGGACTGCAATGTGATGGAGCATCACTTAACCATTTCTCCTGTTCCTTTCTGTGAGTGTGACGAGCACTCCCATGCAGCACAGCAAACTATAGTGGAGACTACAACTACAACATGCTTTATAGTTTATTATAAATGTATAAATCGATTACTGTAAATAAGTGCATAATAAAAAAAAGTCAACATACATAAAATATGATTAAATGTGCAAAAATGTTTTAAAGTTTTAAATTGGAATATACTACAATATATATATTTTATATATTAATAATTGAGGGGGGCGCAAGAATCAAAAACATTAAACAAAATTAGTTTTCACTTAATAAAATATCTTCATTTATTTGGAATGAATTTTCTAAGACAACAAACTTAACATTTACCATGAGATTAGTAAAACGACAATGAACATTAAGATGTGATTGAACTTGACTAACATGCAAGTTGTAAGAACACACACACACACATACATATATAATTATATTTATAGAGAGGCTGAAGTTACGTTGGTAGAAGACCACAATGTCGTTTATATAGCAAACACGGACTTTTACCATGGTAACTTAAGCCTAAAATATGTTAACAAGGCAGGTAATGATAGCTGACCACATTAATCCTCAAATAGTAGCAGATTTTATCTTTTAAAAACAACACTGATATAACTACATATATATATATACTACGTATACATGTATACATTATTTTATAAATAATGTAAATAAATAATTTTATTGTCTACTTATTACCAAAAATCACAGTTCTGTCTCTCCAACTCAGTGTATTTCAATTGCCCGCTATGAACTTCCTGGAACTATTTGAGGTCTACGTGAATCACGTGACGATCGAGCGTTTTGGACTTCCGTTGACGCAGCTCTCTCTTTCTATGGCTCTGGGTCACTTCACTGAAATAAAGTCGGCAGCAACTTCCGGTTCACGCGGACTTTAAGCTTAAAGGGTTAGTTCACCCAAAAATGAAAACCAGCCTGTGTTGCGCGCATCCGTAATAAAACGTCCCTCACACGGCTCCGGGGGGGTGAATAAAGGCATCCTGTAGCGAATCCATGCACTTTTGTAAGATAAATATTCATATTTCAAACGTAATAAACACTTTTTTCTCACTTCTGCTGACTGTGGTACGCGGAAGACATGCAGATGGATGACGTAAGACGTATGCGTCGTGCGTGCGCCTCTGAGAAATGCAGGGGAAATCCTCCAAC